TTTCAAATGTAATTGATCAGCATCTAGAGAGTATGAATTTTACACCAGTTTGAAAGGACTATAACCGTGCATACCACAACACATTAATGAACAAATTATTATAGATATCTTTTACTTACCTATATTCTGGTATCGGAGAACATTGACTTTATTTGAGTTTTTTTTAGAAAAAAAAAATGAATTTTTTTATTTAGTATCTTTAAAACAAAGTAAAAAATAATTGACGTTATTTGAATCTGAACTAGTTGGAATGTTTTTTTTTAATCTTACTTGATACTTTTCGATAAACAAATTGATAATTATCTAACCAAATCATTCTAAATTTAAAAAAACGCACTAAGATAGTCAAAATGACAAAAAGATACTAAGAAATGAAAACAATAAGGACTTAATTCGCACTTAGTTTTTCAAAATATGTTATTTATTTTTTCTCTGTTTACACTTAATCAAGACTGTTTATAATCCTCAATTTAATTTATTATTCAAGTTCCAATCCTACCGTTGCCACCAATGTAATAAAAATGGTGATATTAATTAGTCACTTTGAGAATACATGACCATAACATCTCATAGTCATGTAATAAACAAAAATTAATGGTAGATATACCGGGTGTTACAATTCATATCGGGTGCTCAGACTATTAGCTTTGTACTTATTATTCTTATAGTTTTAGAGAGATAGACAGAATGTAATGTCTAAATCGCAACGAGAGTTCATTTTCATAAGATCCCTATGACGTTTTTTTCAGAAAAAGGGAACAAAGTTTATTTCTAATTTGTCTCGCCAACATGACCACACATTGTCTGAGTTGATAGTTTTTTAAGAATATTTTTTTTTCGAATTTATTTGAATTACCTTAATACCTTTATAATAAGGTTAATACGTTCTTAATAATAAAAAATATATATTTTTTAAATTTGAATGTCATGTTGAACAACCGTCTTATTCTTTTACGTTCTGCCAACCTCTAAATTTCAGAACACCCTTTAAATGTACATTTTTTAAAATGACAGAGTTTTGAAAAGTTGACGTAATTCTTTGTTGCTCTAGTTTAATACGTCCCATTCAAAAATGCATATTATAAAATAAAACGTGTTTTTGGAAAATTAATCAACACAGTTGCTTTCAACTTATGTGTATGTCTATTTTAAATTCCTTAGATGTATGGTATTATCTTATCGCTAGGAATTCTATATAGTACTTACTCAGCTACTGTTGTGGGAAATTATATTTACCTATGCTGAAGAATTCACCTCGTGAAATGTTTCACTTCCAAAACATTTTCTTTGTTGACAGTATATAGATGTTATTTCCTTCAATAGTGACGTGAAATAATTGAAAAGGAATTACCTACGTACAAAAAAAAGTTGCAAGTAACTGCTGAAGTTATAAAGTACTGTGAATCACGACATCTCAGTTTCAGCTAAGCGAACCGGATACAAGAATTTATTTACCCTAAGCCGTAGACTATTTAAGAAATACATATGCGGAGCGTACCTTGTGCTAAATATAGTACTAATCTCTATACGTGCAATGAGCAGTAACAGACGTCTTTATTTTCCGTCTGTCATCAACTTCAACCTAAACATTTCATTACATGTGCAATAATTGCCTTGTTTTGTCGACCTGAGTTCCAATTTTGGTATGGCGAGCATGTTCTGAGATCACTAGGAGAGAAAAAAGACGTAACAGTTGACGTTACTGCAGACGTCGGCAAAGCTACCTGAAAATACTACACTAAACTCATTGTCAGCAAAAAAAATGAGGGAAAGGAAAACCTGTCTAAATGTTATTTCTAGGCTCAATAAAAGAGGATTTAGCAAGTTTGACAGTCAATCAAGGAAATAGAAATTATTTAAACTGTATTTTGATCATTTCTTGTCATGTATCTAACAAATACAGGTTTGGAACAAGTGGACCGTAAAAAAATAAAAATAAAAAGAATCCTGGCTCAGTTCATTTACTTCAGATAGACTCAACTATACGTTTCGGATTTCTGTGTGGCCTCTTATTAGCAAAATCTGTTCGTTCCCGAATTCACGCCTCGAGACATGTTATTCAGACCGGCAATTCAACTGAACCAATTTATAAAACATTCGGTAGCAGTTTAAAAATAATATTAGTTATTGCGCCACAATTTATTGCGTTGACCTTTCAGTTTCGTAAGATATTTGTTGAAGCATGACCTTCGACTGGCAGGGGTATTGTATGAAAACATACAATTTAATAATAACACCTTTTACGGTATTGCCCGATAATCACACCGTAATTTATTGTTGTTCAAACATGGCTCAACCGGTGATCAAAACAAAGAAGTAACACAGCCTTTTACAACCGGGAAAGTAATCGTTGTGACTATTGCTTCCAAGATGGGTACAAAGACGGGAACAAATGTGACGCAATACAAATGATACTTTAAAGATTTTTCGTACAGTTTCATAATAAATAAATATATAGAATATTTCCAAATGTTCCAATAGTCGACAATGTGAAACTGGATCGTGAGTCGTACTTCTAGACAAGAAGTAAAAGTTAAGTGTCGCCATCTAGTTTCTCATCCTTAAGTAGGTTTTTCAATCTATTGACAAGAAACATATATTTCATTATTTGCTCCCACAATTTTTACTTTATTTTAAAGATATTAAGGTAATTCAAACAAATTATATATACAGTATGTCAAATTAAGTCGGCACCAAATGGGATACTTTTTTTATTACTGATTTTATGAAAAAAGTTATTCTTGACAAAACGTTCTGCATGGCCTAAAACCCAAAGTGAAATAATCAGATTTCAATTTTTTGCAGTCGTATACGAGGTTTGTCGAAAAATGTAAATTTTTGCTCAAGAGTAAAGTACCTACCTTTATTTTTTACAATACCTATCGACAATCGTTATTTAGAAAAGTTGATCCTAATAGAAATCTACGGTAAGTTATCCAATATTATCCATCTATTAAAAAACCGATTTTGTTATTTTTACAAACTCTTCTCTGTAATAGCATTGATAATTTACGTCTAGAGATCGACATTAAATCTGTGATGCACTAACAAACCAATTAATTTAATACAATAAATGTTTTATGTTATATGAAAAATTAAATTATAATTTATATGTTTATTTCCTACTACATTTATACCCAAAAATTATTAAAGATTGTTTCTAATGGTAGATGCGATAATATTGTAAATTTAGACGAGGGAGGACGCGTAGCTGGTCTTTTTTTCGATTTAACACGCGCCATTGATTGCTTAGACAAGCCATTCATTAAAAGTAAATTGTACAACATTGGGTTCAGATATTTTTAGACTTGATAATCCAATTTTTACCTAACAGATCTATGCATGTTAAAATTAAGGAGGCCTTGTCTGTGAATCAAAGTGTCACTCTGGGTGTTCCTCAGGGATCGGTGCTGGGACCGATAAGTTTTCTTTTATTTATAAATGACTTGCCTATTTATATGAATTCTGCTGCTATAACGCTATTCGCTGACGACACATCTGTTATGGCTTTAGCTCCGACCCATGAGGAACTCGTTAGAGTTTGTGAGAGCTGTATTACCAGTTTTGACAAATGGTGTAAATCAAATAGCCTTATCTTGAATATTAATAAGACGAAAATAATTTATTTCCATAATAAACCTGTCGCAGACAACAAAATTGTATTTAAATTTTGATAACATCATTTTGGAATCATCCGAAAGTACCAACTTTCTGGGTGTTCATCATATATATATGTATTATGTGGAACATTGAATAGATCATATTGTGCTATATAGTATAGTATATAACCATTTATCTGTCATGTCATTTTATGGGGTTGTACTGCTAATAGTTACAGGGTCTTCCTAGCGCAGAAGCGTATAATTAGAAGTAAATTTAATATGAAGTCTCGTCAGACCTGTCGGAAGATTTTTATTGAAAACGGAATCTTAATTTTCCCGTATCTATATTTTTAAAGTGTTATTGCACGTCAAGGAGAATATTTGTAACTTTACAAATAATTCTTCTCTACCGGAAATTGTAACCTGTTTTGTATCCCTAAACATAAAACTAAAAAATTTGAACTGTCAGTGAACTATATCAAGGAATAAAATTTTATAATAAATATAATATGGAAAATATTTATTAGTGAAGATAGGAAAGCCAAAGTTTCTTTGACATATTGTCTAATTTTTTTTTCTTCGTATTTTATATGAAAAGTTAGTTTAAGTTTTCTATTAAAAATCGTACATATTTATTTTTTCTTTCAGTTTTTTCTCAGTAAAAATCCATTAATTACATGGTATACACAGTAAACTGTGTCACTGTTTAAAATATATGTAAAATCACTATAAAATCCACCTAAACAAGTCTACTTGCAATTGTTATTAGCACAAAGAATCCTAATCCTATTATGTAATTGTACTTAATGATATATTTCTCATTACATTGTTATCGATTTTCAATTGGATTTTAGGATATTTTGTATATTTCCACATTTCTTCACTTATTAATATTTTTTACACTTCCTTTTTAAGAGTAAGGCACCCCAAACATAGTCGACACTTCAGTTTGATAAATGATTGAAAATAGTTATTTAAATATTCCAAATTTTATAGAAATATACTTTGACTATTGCCAATTATATACCTATATCTTATCTTTTATATAATCTTTTTACTTTTATGGAAATACCATTACTTTTTTGTTGTAAATGCGCTTCATGAACCGTTATCTGACACTGCAGTCAGATGTCAGAACAAAGGTGATGTTTTGCAGATAACAAATATTTAATCGACCGCTATATAATTTCATAATTAATACAGCTATCGATGGTTTTTCTACTTATCTTATCAGTACATTTCAGCATCGACTTATTCCACGAATATGTTACTATTTTATCTTATTTACTCGTTGATACCAGCGACAAATTCAAAGCGCTAAATGCGCTGCATTGTACGTTATTTCTTCACATATGTGGTTTTAAATATGTATATCTAACACCGAACTGTTTGTTCCAGGAGGAAAAAACCGCAAGGAGGTGCCACCGCGACATAAACAGTGCCCACAATGGAGTCGGTAATCGTGCCAAATGAAAATAGGAGTCTGGCAACAGAAAAAGGGAACAACGACAGTGAGTGTAACAAGAGTGAGATAAACTTGAACGGCCAAATTGAAAAAGAAGTAAGTGAAACTAAAGTGTTTACAACTGTGACGCAAATTCAAGTAACGGAGGTAACTGTGAACCCGAAGGACCTAGACACCGATATAGTTATCCTTAGGAAGGATCCCACGACGAGAAGGAACCTTATCAATAAATCCGCTTACGCCAAGCTACACCGCACTCTATCGCCTGATAGGAACAACACCATAGACTCTTTAAAGGAAAAATACGAGTCCAAGCCTGATCTAATCGACGTTAAAAGTAATCCGAAAGAAGCCAGTGCAACGGAGGAAAACAAGTCACCACGTACTCCTACAAAGCTGGACGAGGAAACTGTTCAGTCGCTGAAAGACAAGTACTCACCCGCTAGGTTCGGGTATCCCAAGATCGCCCCGAAACCTTCCAAACTACCGCTTGCTAAACCCAGAAGTGCAGTGAAAAGCCAAATCATTCTCCCTTCAACGAAACCCTCGGATAAAGAAAAAGCGAGGTACAGTCTCAATGTAGACAAGAAATCCAAATCCAAAGATGAGAACTCCAATGAATTGCACAGGAAGAACAGTTCCAGCTCCGGTGAGTTCGTAACCATTATAACAAGGTCAGAGTCAGAAGGTAGCGTAGATAAAATGGAAAAGGAACTCAACTTGTTTACGATGGATACGAAACCTAAAGACAAAAAACGCGCCAACAGCTTTAGAAAAATATTCTCCGGCAAGATATTCGGAAAGGATAAGAAAAAAAAAGGAGACGAGAAAGACAAAAACAAACTCCAGTCAAAGCAGAATGTGGCCGATGTTCAGAATATTCAGAACGAAACCAATTCGTTCAACAGACAAACGAACTATAGACACACCGTTGGAGGTAATAGCAGCATCAAGCCAAAAGAGACGAGACCTACTATTAGATCCGAAAGCGACGCGTATTCCAACCAGCAAAACCGATATATCACAAAAGAAATGGAGGACAGATACGCCCAAATGCACGTAAACCAATTCAATCATATCAAAAATGCCTTTGAACACACAAATTCTGTTCCGGCAGTGCAACCAGCTGAGGGCTACGTCCGAATGGACAAACCTTTAGTGAAGAACAACCCGGGACCTACTAACTATATGAATTTACCTAACGTTAGGAAATATATCGACACCAGTTCCTCAGCCAGCACCTTAGAGTCGGAAAGATCAAACAGCCAAAACGAAGTTGCCCAAATTAACCGCGAGATAGAACGCAGGAACGAACTGGAAGCTAGAAATGATAATTTCAACAGCCTTAAATCCGTCAGATTCGAAGGCAGTAAGGATAATACTAGAGACACCCCTCCTCGAGCACAAGAACTGCGGCAAGACGTTCGACTGGTAAATCCCAAGGCATTAATTCCTATAACATCCGAAAGACCTTTACCAAATCCCTATCAGAACAGCAACAGTTCCACCCTGGATAAACCAAGACCCAGCCCGCAGTTGAACCCAGTGGAAAACCTAGACCGAACAAACCAAACTCGACCTCACCTTGAAGAAACTTACGGGATTGTTTTTGACAGCCTTGTAAGAAACAAATCACCGCAGCAACCTTCAGCGAAAATCAATGAATTAAAGAACGATCAAAAACCCCCAAGATCTCCGTCTGTCGAACCTAGTAAACTTAAATTACCCCCTAACAGAGAAATTATTCCGCTGTCGCCTAGGGTAAAGTCACCCATACCCCATGATAACATAAGTGCAGAAAAAATTATAGCGACAGAGTTACTGAAGCCTTTAAAGTCACCCACACTTACAAGAAAGAGTAACACAAGACTAGCAAGTCCCAGTCATCAAAAACTTGAGATTGATATCGACTATCCTGATAACATTAGTAACGAACGACACGAAAATCGAACGATCGAAAAGAGCAAACCTCCTTTGCTTACAAAACCGCCGATATCGAAAATTCCTTTCCGAAGATCTCCAGAAGCGTCCAGCTCTAGTGCTAACAGCTTAACGAGGCAAAGCACCAGTCAAAATTCACTAGCATTTGACATTAAACGGCTGAGTCAATCATCACCAACTTCAGAAAATCTAGAAAACACTTACGCCAGATATAGAAGAAGCCAGGCATCACCACTAGCATCACCACTAGCGGAAAATCAGGAGAGGATCATTACCAACGCCATGGTACATGTAAATTCTAACGTGAGGTCACCAACTCCAGTTAATTTAATGAACAGTAGACCATTGTCTCCAGTGACGCCAAGTATTCGATCCTCCACGCCAGTCGACTTCAGATCTTCCCCGACTGCAAAGACTTCCCCCCAAAAGGAAGAAATGCGGAGAAGCGTGGAAGCGTTCTACTGGAAAGAACTAAAAAAGTTGAAGGACCAAGAGAACTACGAGATGTACCTTTACCAAATGCAAATGATGCCTTATGGATACGCTGAGGATCCCATCACTGTTCGCAGATCTAGAAGCCTGTCACCTACAACACACAGGAATAGTAGGAGAAGCCTCAGTTTACCACGCGACACCAGACAGACTAATGTCAAAGACGTTCCAGAAATGTATGGCAGGATACAACCTGCGCCAATACCTGAGGGTAGAGCTGTGGTACACCAACAGGTACCACAGAGAAACGTCATTTACGGGCAACTCCAATACCAACCCAATTTCAGGCGTAATGCTCCGGAAAGGAGAACCATAGACAGCACTCCTAGAAGTTATGAGAACTATAACAACACTTACAGGCCGATCTTCAAACGAGGGAGTTTATCGACTCCAGTTAAAGAACAGGACGAAGTCCAGAATAAGAAAGTGAGTTTTTCTGGTTCAAACCCGCAAAACGTACAGGTTTGGCCTACGAGGAACGGCTTCACCCAGAGTCCGCCTCAGAGGAGAGTAGATAACAACAATCGACTGAGCACTGTAGAGGACGATGTGTTTTTGCCCACCACTCCTCGAACACCAATCAGATACGACGGGAATGACATTTATGGGTATATTAACAAGCCGATACGATACGAATATGCTCCGAACCCAAACGAAGTTGTATATTACACGAGACAGAACATGGAAGTGCAAAATTCCGAGCCTACATACGATAGAAATCCAAACGTAAGATACACTGTGAACTATCCCCAGGATGAGAACCCCTACGGCCAACACGTAGATGCTAAGCCTCCTTACAGAATGACTCGTCATGGATCCATACAACTCCAGGAACCTTTGTACGACCAAAGGCAAATGGTTTCTAGGCGAAGGTCGTTTGAAAATGGGCAAGTAAGGCCTGTTCAGGAATCCCAGTACATAAACAGACAACCAAATTCTCAAGTGAATGCTACAATCGGTATCCGAAGGGAGATAATTTTAAACGACGAGATCTTCGGGCAATTCGGGGGATACGTCCAACCGAACGACGAAAGGTACCTCCAGAACAGACAAAACGCGATTTACTCCTCCAAACAAAGCGTGGCGGAGCCCCTATATGGAAGAACCGGACAGAAGCAGGTGACCGTCAGTAACAAAGTGTGCGATATTTACGGGCAGATCCACGACACCGACAGCTCAGCACTCAGCACTCCCACCCAAGTCAGGAGAACCGGGGTGATAATGGGACAGTTGCAGAGCAACCCTGGTTCACCCCAAGTGACTCGACAGACCCAGTCGGGGCTGACCAACGAGCAGTTTGCTCGCAACACGAGGCTGACCGCGAGCGCGAACGACATGTACAGAAGGTACCAGAACGTCGATCCACGGTACAGGAGCGACGTGGTGTACGACGGTGTGCGATACCAGCAGCAGCAGAAACAACAAGAAATCGCGGCGCCCACTAGACCCCTTCCCCCTGTCCCTACCAAGAAGGGGCTGATGCGCAACAGCTCGGGAAAGTCTGACACGGACAGTGACGTGAGTGAAATACAGAGATTGAATAGCGGTGCCAAAAACAAAAAACGCAGCTTTTTTGGTAAGTGAGCCAAATGGTAGCTTTTGGGTATTTGAGGAAGAAAATATTGCAGGCAATATGTGTTTAAATAACCGTAGGGTATGCTACGCACAGTATGACTTAGGCACTTCAAATACTTATCTAAAATAATGGAAAATAAAAGGAAATGAAGCATATTTGCGCAAGTCGAGGGGTACCATATAATTCGTATTTGTCATTTCTTTTACTATTTTAACATGGCTGTGAAAATTTTATCAAAATTATATTAATGTTAAATTAAGTGAAACAGCTTTACTTTTATAGCAATTGTGAGGCTTTACTATGAATAACTTTCGATGTTTTAATATCCATAGTAGTAATTCATATTATATACAGGGTGTATCTCCCGTAAATACAGGGGGTGATAGTACGACAAAAAATAAGAATTTTTTGTCTTATGAACTATATGTCTCTCTCCTCTTGTTTTCGAGATACAGAGTGACACAATAAAATTTCATAAAAATATTTCGCACCGTTTGGAAATTTTCGTAAAAATTCTACTTAAAAAATTTAAATTATGTCGCTCTGTATCTCGAAAATAAGAGGAGATAGACATATAGTTTGTAAGACGAAACATTTTTATTTTTTGTCGTACTATCACACCCTGAATTTACGGGAGGTCTTTCTGAAACACCCTGTGAGGTGGGAAATGCTGGAACCATCCAGAAACTTGAGTTAAAAGGTTTTCCTATACACTATTCATATTTTCAAAGTTTTTTTTTTGTAAAACCTTTGAAGATACGAAAAAAAAACGTAATAATATTTTTTTATTGAAAAAATATTATGAACGTGGATTTCAACGTAAACTTTACTGTCTTTAAAGTACCATACCAATGTAATTAAAATTGCATAGTGATTTATTTTTAATAATAAATTTCATTTATCAAAAAATATATACAAAGTGTACATTGTTTTTAAAATATTTATTATAAAGAGTTACACACGAACTATTTATTTATTTATTATTGTAATTTCTTCCTCAAATCTCAAAATCTCGAATTGAAGCTGCTATTATAGGTTATAAGTTTTATATTTGTTAAAAGTATTAATTTTATGTATGCTTCTTGTTATTCTATGTGAAAATTGTTTTTACACAACAAATTGCTGTACTCTGCAAGTGCTGATTTTGTATTTACTGGAGCCAAATAATAAATTGTTATAAAAGAAATTTTCGCTTTTTTCTACCTTACCTACCTAAATAGCTTTTCAATTCCAGATTTTGTTGTAATAAATAAATATAAGTTAAACATAAATTAGCTACAGTGGGTGGAAGGGAACTGAAACCAAAGAGAAAGTTAAAAGTCTCCTTAAAAGTAAAAATTATGAAATAATTTATTGTCTGTTATTTTTTTAATGACCCGTTAAATATAGATCAAAAACCAAAATACAGATTTTGCCCTTTTAAAGTGTTTTAAAATAACAGAAAGGGTTCATACTGTCTACTGTAATTGTGAACAGTAAGGAATATTTTAAATATGATGTAGGAATTATTCAAGAATGTTTTTAGGACGAATTTTTACCAGGTAAGTATCAAAATATCTATAAAATTAAATTGTAAAATAGAAAATTAATACCCAAAAGAAACTAGCAAAAATTTAAAAATTGTGGTTAGAAGATATTTTTAAAATGTCTACACTGAGTATACGATTTATTTGGGAGAAATACAACTTATCAGAGCCAATAAAATCAGTTATTTGAATAGAATTTTTTTAATATAATTTGAATATTAAATATTTATTTCTTGAATCACTATTAAATAAATTTTCTGTTTATTTCTTTTTCAAGGGAACTTCAGATTTTAGTAACAGCAACTTATACAGGATGTTAGCGAAGGTAGTGTGAAATACTGAAGATGAGGATTCGTTACCAATTGAACCAAAATTTGCCACAAAGTATAGCCGCTTTCGAAATATTCGGAATTTTTTATTTCAACACATTTCTTGTAGGTTTTTACTAAACAGCAATTATCAGTTTAAATAAATTCGTAAAAATATATTCAAATTTGTATGCGCAGAAACGATAAGTATACAAGCTTGTCAGTTCAAAGTGTGGCTGTGGCTATAACCTATAAAGCATGTGTCATATATTACATTAATGTCATTGCTATTTACTGGCATTGCTGTGTACCTAGTGACAAATACTTAATTTTAAAAACTTTCCTATTAAATACTCTGTCTATCCATCCATAACACAAAGCAAAAACAATTAAAACAACGGGATTTCAAGGTTGTCGTTTTTTGTTCTACCTTTACACTTTAGAATAACTTCCCACTATCTTTGTAAGAACAAAAAAATTGACAAAAATTAAACATTAATCGTACTTTGTTGTATACCATACTATTTCCCTAATACCTATGCACAGGGTGTGAAAGAAATACTTAAGTGCCAAAATCTTAATTAATTTAAAAAGAAATAGTTTTTGAGATAATTTATAGTTGTATTTTAAATTTTTTGTTGGAACATAAATCAAAACGGTTAGTTGATTGAATAAACAAAAATATGCGGAATTAATTAAATTTCTATAAAAAAAATATTACAATTTTAAGTAATGTAGTGGAGCAAAAAATGTACAAATCAATAGTAGGAAACGACAAACTTCGTAATTCCTTGTAGTTCTTCAACCGTATTAAGCGGAGTAAAATATCTGTTTAAATGAGCCCATACATAAAAATCACACGGATTTAAATCTGGTACTGGGGCGGGCCATGCAACTGGACCATTTCAACCAATCCACCGTCCAGAAAAGTGCTGACTTAACCAATCTGGAATAATTCGAGTATTATGGCAAGGAGCACCTTTTTCGAGGTGTCACACGTTTAGACGAACTTCTATCCAGTAAATCATTTAGTACATCACTAAAAAAATATAAATGTCGACGATCGTCTATCTAATACTCAGTTTCAAAAGTGCCGTCGGTAGTGATAATCTTGAGGCTGTAAATACTGATTGTTTTGTACATGGTACGGGTATATTTGCTCTTCTTTTAAAATCCTCCAAACTGAACTTGTTGATGCTTTTTGGTGTATAATTAATAGGTATAGAGATTTAGAGATAGTAGATTTAGTTCCAAGATTATTTTCAACGTTTTCCAAAAGTGCGTAAGCTAACATCATATCAATGTATTCATTTTTTGCAAATGATACGATGCACAATCACAACTGTTAATACCTCGTTGTGCTTCTTACATTTGACATGGAGTCTAGTAAAAAAACTTCACTGCATAAAACTTGTACTTACATATGTTACTTATAATTAGATGTTTCTTTAATTCACTGCTATTTTTATGAGTAAACAATACTGGACAAGCACTTCTAAAAAAAATATTAGACAAAAAATACTTTTAATGAGTTAAATATTTTGTTCAAATTTTTACACTTAGGTAGTTCTGAAACATCCTGTAGGATATTTTCACATTGACAAGCGTTTGTTGATTAGATTATGTGATATGAAATGAATTATTCATTGATTAATATTCATTTCTAAAGCCTATTAAGAGAGAAGAAGAATCATATCACGACTTTCAGCTAGAAGCAATAACGTTCTTAATCTACCCATAACACGCAGTAACATCCTTGTGGGATCACCGTTCTATCAAGTCACCTCCAAGTACAGTGAGGTAGAAAATAACACCGGTTTTTTTTATGTTCAACTCGTAGTATAAAAAATGTATTCTTAAGTAGCCATAATATATGCCTTATAGCGTTCGTTAACTTTCCGTTTTGTCTTTAGGTGTGTGTTTCATATTTAACTCCTTTTTTTATTTTTATTTTTCTTGTCATATTTTAATGATGTATTTTTTTAAATAATTTTTGAATAAATAAACAATTTTTTAAATAGGTGTATCCTCTCCAGTAAGAATTATATTTTAGAAAAACTAAATAAATAAATTTACTTACTTCTTATTATACAGGGTATTAGAGAAGTTTGACTGTTTTAATTTTAACAGACGGTAGAATACATTAAAATAAACGAAAAACACCTTATGTTTTATAATCTTATGTGACCATTTCCGAGAAAAAAATTATCAAAATCTCCAACTTCTCTCTCCAGACGGTATCTGTTTCAAAAAGCCATATTTGGGTGAATCGTATATCCACGGAGATTTTCGGCTTTTTGGCTTTCAAATATAACTAGAAGTGAAAATTTTTCTATGCGCATAAAAAAAAACGTGGTCTTAACTTTTGGCGGCACAATATGTTAAAAAAATTGGAAAATGTCTTATTTTTCTTCCTATTTAATTATGTATCTTTTTAAGAGTTGATTTTAGGCGAAAATGGAAAAGGAAAAAAATGTGTGTAATTAAATTTTTTACAATACCTAACTGGTTACAAATCGAATGAATCATGATTATTATGGTAAAAATCGAAAATATCACAAAAATGGGGTTACAAAACAATACTTTTTAGGGAATTTTTTTGGTGCATTTAAATCGGTTGTAGGACCTTTATACTTGCCTCAAGAAAACTTTATGTTATGTAGAATCATCACACCAAATTTCATCAAAATCGGTTCGATAGATTTTGCATAATAATTTTGCAATCCAGATTAAAAAAAAATTGCAAATTTTCAAAATTTTGCACAGCAAAAACCAAGGCCCTTAGATACTTGAAAATTTAATCACATATAGAAGGGCTCTCAGGCTTTCAAACTTTTTTTGAAAAATTCGAATCCGTCAATTAGGAGAGCTCTGGCGCTTGTTTAAACATTGGTCGAATTTTTGTACTTATAAACAATTAGAACTTTGTGAATATTCAATCAAATCAAATTTTTTAAAGCAGGTTTTAAAAGTTCTTGGAAAGACGCTTTTTTAAAAAAAAACAGATCGATTGATCAATTAGTTACGTAGTTATAGCCGTCATTTACACTAAATGTACTGGGACATCCGGGCTAATTTTTCGAAAAATACCTTTGGTATTCCGAGTACTTACCAGGTCTAAGATTACAATACTTTTCTTCATTGGCAACCTACTTTAAAACGTGTTTAAAGTTATTTATGCAAGCGAGAAATTCAATAAAATCGTACGGGTGGTGGTGGTGGGGGAAGCAGAGAGCGCGGCCGCTTCGGCCTGCTCGAAATTGAATCGTCTATAACTACGTAACTAATTGATCAATCGATCTGTTTTTTTTTAAAGAAGCGTCTTTCCAAGAACTTTTAAAACCTGCTTTAAAAAATTTGATTTGATTGAATATTCACAAAGTTCTAATTGTTTATAAGTACAAAAATTCGACCAATGTTTAAACAAGCGCCAGAGCTCTCCTAATTGACGGATTCGAATTTTTCAAAAAAAGTTTGAAAGCTTGAGAGCCCTTCTATATGTGATTAAATTTTCAAGTATCTAAGGGCCTTGGTTTTTGCTGTGCAAAATTTTGAAAATTTGCAATTTTTTTTTAATCTGGA